TACATATGGTGCCATACCAAAGAGTCAGAAGTGAATAGGTTAGCCCTTTGTGATTGCTCAATTCCTTTCTGAAATATGGGGCTTACTGGGCTCCCATTCAGGATCATAGTGGTGGTTTGTGTGTGGCCTGTACAGTGATGGTTGGTCTGGGAAGATAAAAAAGGGATTCAGTGCCCGAGTCATGCGTGTTGTGGTCTTATTGACATGGAGGGCGAAGTGATTCGTTAGTAGCCGAGAGTCAGGAAACACATAAGGACGAGTTTTATTGAATTACGAAGTTGTGGAATCTCCCCATTATGTGTAGCTCAGGCTATGGCTTTTATTGTAATTAGTAAAAATTATTATGAGAGTGATCATCATCTGAAAAATTCCTCGAAAACAGTTTGTTCAGAGAATTTTCATACAGTCAGCTATGTTCCAGAATTTTCTCGACTATCTCCCTCTTCTGCGACGGATAAGCCTTGCTAGGAACAAATTACGATTTCTTCCTTCTTTAGCAGCTCAGAACTCGCGTCTCATCTCTCTCGACCTTCGGCACAACGAAATTGAAACGGCGGATGTTCAGGTGAGCAGAAGTTGAAGCAATACTTGCTGACCATTGTTCTCAACGTCACACTATTAGGGTCACGGCTTTTTTGAGGTTCCAGAAAAGTCATTAATTCTTGTTTACTCACTAGATAGGCTTACTAATAGGTAAGAATCTTAAAACCGTTGTTAGGAAGCGGTCCGATTTTTCAAAGAGGTTGTGCTTCTCTGATGGGACTTCTGAGGGAACCCAATGCGGGNNTCGAAACCGACTATGTCCACTTCACTTGATCTTCAGGCTTTCTCCTATCTACCAAGCCTCATTCAACTCGACTTGGCTCACAACCGGCTTCAAAGCCTCCCGCAGATGACGTTTGCAAAAAACAAGCGGCTAGTGACTCTGAAACTTCACAGGAACCCGTGGAACTGCGATTGCAGGTGATATACGATCTTCTTTTTGAAATGCCTTTAAAAGTGAACAGAGAAATTTTCAGAATCCTCAACATCGGCAGCCTAGCTATGGGAAAATCAAGGCCTATGGAGGAGGCAAGGTGCTTCAATCCACCCAACTTGAGAGGGAAAACGCTTAGCTCGGTAGGTTGAAATGAGCGGAAACAAGCCTTGTCATTCTTATAACGGCTTCATCCAGGAATCATAAGTATTGGTCACTTCTTATAATCGAATTGGTCGATATTGATCGATTCGTATTTCAGATCAAAGCTTCTGATGTACCTTGTGCAGAGCCTATCGTTGTTGAAAAAGAGTTCAACAGCATTCTGGAATGCACGGCCGCTGGAGGTGGTGAGATCCACTGGTTATATAAGTAAGTTACCGTTTCAGATTGCCAAAATCAAACCTTCCGTCACATTCTCACAATGGCCTGTGGCTTGAACTTCCGATACATTCACTGTCAAAAAGAATAGTTTTCGTGATTTTTATAGTACTCCTCATCAGTACTGTTTCAGCAATATCGATCTCGACTTTTCTTCGGCCGATTCCTATCAGGTGACCGTGAATGGTTCATTGATCATACCAAAAGGATCACCAACTCAAGGATTTACATGCACAGCTGATTATGGAGCGGTTCCAAGGAGGTTCCTTTTAACGCTGTATTTTTCGTAATTTTCAATGATAAGCTATTATATTTCGTAGTTCCGACAGCATCTATAAATAACATTTTGCATTGTAAAAAGACATGATATTTCGAATAAGTATTGGCTATACTAAGCACTGTCTGTCGAGCTCATTCGAGTACCTACCTTTACAAAATTCTTCTTACATGATTCTGTTCACATGCGATGCCTCTGAGATCTTATCTTATTGATTTATTGATTTCCTAATCCTCATTGATTCCTTGATTCTTTTCCTTCTATTCTAGAACGCTTCGTCAAACGTCATCTTCAGGACGGAGGCCTCAATTTACTTTCAAGCCAAAAGACAGCTCATATAGGTGATTCACATTCTATCAATTTTTTATGGTTTACTACTGTATTTTTTACGGTCGACTACTGTCTAGGTAAAATTTTAAAATCTTTTTTAACTTCCAAAAGAAATTTAGAGAAGGCACTGCAGTCAAATTGCATTGTGAAGTGATTGGAGACCCCAGACCGACGATTGTTTGGTATCATCGACGGCAAGTGGGTAGCTTTATCTCGACAATGATTTAAATCCAATTTACTAGAATCTATTTTCTACTCGGGACCTGAAAATCGATTCAAGGGACAGGAATAGCCTTCGAGAACATAAATTCTCAAGTTTCAGCCGATCGTCAACTCGAGAAAGCACGAGCTGATCAACGCCAATTCTATCCTCAAAATTTATCCTTTTCTGGAAAACGATGTTGGAAGGTTCGTTGTCAAATGATTCAAAACTCTGAATGCAGCTTCATTTATAGCATGTACGATGCGCCATGCCTCCAAATCAATGAGGTCATTGAAGCTTCTTTTAAACCAGCACAGATCACCGAAGCCTTCAACTACTTTGTTAGACAACTTGTTAGACGCCTATTAACTCAGACGAAGCATTTTTGCGAGATATTGATAGCTTCCAAGACTAATACTGTATTCAGCTAATCAAATAAGCTCTTCCTAACTGATACTATCTATTGGGCTCATGTCGTCTTTTTTTGCAACCTCCCTTTTGCTTCTCCCTTTCACAAGCCTCCCGACAGACCCTGAACCTTTGACCAATTTCCGGCATTAGCTTCCCCTAGCGACGCTATCTCTTCCAATCGAATCGTTTGACTTTTCCTATATCGTTTATTTCAGTCTATTTTTTCGGACTCTAGGATGTCTTCAAAACTAGTGTTGTTAAGTTTCAAACTTAACTTTGCCTCCCTCAATGCTTACCCACAACCAAGACCGAGTAGTCCCTGCTTCTATGTACAGCCCTGCCCTTTTTCGAGAGTGTTTAGGACGTTCCGAATATTTCCCCCTTTACTTTTAATTTTGTGATCCCTGACTATTCATATCGATTAATGATACTTTGTGGTTAAAGAACCCCTTCAGGGATGGTCCTCCTCTGTGTCTCTTTATCCTTTTTTTTCTGAATTTGAGCAATACTTGATCGAAATTCGGAAGCGCTGCCATTGCCTTCACCTACATATTTCGATGCCTTTGCCGTCTTCGATTATGCTCTCCTTTAATGTAGGCTCCGCCCATACCAAACTTGACTCAACCGCATATTTAGGCCCTTTCAGAGCCGCACTTCGCAACAGGGAAATACATAGACAGAAATGTCTCTTATGAACAACGACCCATCGCTTTTCCAAAGCTATTGTTAAGTAGGGGGTGCACTTCATACACGCATGGTCACGGGTACGAATCCCGGGTCGAAAACCTAGGCCAACCAAGCGTTTGATCCCTTCGGGGTTAATCGGCACCAGATTCGTCTGGGATGATCAAAGCACTGATTTGTACGTCGCCCGGCCACCACATATCAGCGTATAGGCCACACATGCATTCAATACGCCACTAAAATTTCAGTGAAAGTCGAATGTGTGCGCTCATCCCTCAGATGCGGTTGATTGACGCTCCACGACTCAAGAATTTATTCTTTATACATTTTAATGTCGATTCGTTTCAGCTACACTTGTATTGCATCTAATATTCACGGACGAATTGAGCACACCGCACGAATTCATCTAGTGAGCAGGTTAGTCTTCGATTTTTGCCTATTTCTCTCTAAATACTGAATATGGTGTGATTTCAATCAATTCTAGTGTACCGCCCAATATTTACGATGGTCCATCTCCGCAAACTGTCAAGCTAGGACAAGAGGTCAGTTGAAATTATCAACTGGCACTTCAATTTATGATCCTACATAGTTGCACGAAGGCGAGAGTCCTGTCACTATTGCTGGCTGACCACTAGGGCACATAGATGAGAGAGGTTCAGCTGGCAATAGTTGTCCTTACATGGTTAACCATTCTGAGCAAATCTATAGCACTGAATTTTCTCACCAGATCGATTTACATGCACGTACGGTTCAGGTCACCTTCGCCTGTCGTGCTCGTGGTGTTCCTAGACCAGAAATCACTTGGTTCTATGAGGGTTCAGTTATTCCTCATATCAAAGGACGTTTCAGGGTAAGTGATCCAATTTTAATCGGCGATTACTAGTAGACATCCAGTGAAGACTCTAAGACCTCATCACTTTTCTCGACGGTGTGATATACTTCCCGATTGATCACTTACCATCATTTCTCCCTATCGCTTAGTATGAACCCTTGGTTTCCTCTAACTCAAGTGCCTCAGTATATTAATCCACTTCCAGTTTGGCATTGGTTAAATACTATTTTCGTAAAATTGTGCTACTTTTATGAACCCAATTTTGGGTGATGTGTGCATGTACATAACATCCATAATCTCTCATTTGCACCTAATTCATGAACTCCTAAGCTTACCGGTAAGATCTGGGTAGAGGCGGTGCAAAACAGTTCTCACTATCCCAACGCGTGCTCCTCGTTTGAGCCTCGAATTGATACTCGCCTAGACCAACGAAGCCTTCTATCCCTCCGATGTAGGTTATTTGTTAACACATTCGTCTGGGAGGATAAAAACGCTGACAAACTATACATTGGCTGACCATCGTATGTCATCCGTATATACTCATACGCATCAATACACCGCTACTTTTCTGAATGGAAGCTTTATGCAGGGCGCATCCCAGGAAATGGGAATGGTTGATGAAGGGACCTTCATCCCTCAGTTTTTATAAATGAGGTTTTGAAACGGGTGGGGTTGAGCAGTGGTTCAAAGCATATGCTCATGGGATCTACTGTAAACAGGGTTCTTTTTATTTTTCTCATCATGCGAGGATTTTGATAGATGGGTCGCAAAAATTCTGCTGCTGAGTTTGAGCTGTCCACCAAAGTCGATTTCGAAGAAGCGGGAGCTACATTATGCTAAAGAGAAGGGATGTTGTTGTAAAGAGAGGAATTTCGAGATTATTGCTCGTTGTTTAGGTTTCAGATGATGGTACTGAATTGACGATCACGAAAGTTAATCGTCAAGACGAAGGCGTCTATTCTTGTATGGCAGGCAATAGTGTTGGAGCCATGATGGCCGATGCAAAGCTCACCGTCGAAGGAGATTTCGCCCGCACTGTAATTTCCCAATTTCTTTGTTTTTCTAAAACATACTGTGTAGTCACTGAACGAATTTAATTCTGTCAGCTCCCAAGTGAATTCGGAGTGCCTTTTATAGGTGGATGCGTTCATAGACGACGCCACGCTGAGATCAATTTCCACACAAGCAAGAGATAACGTGAACAGGTAGTTTTGTTAACTGCTGCATTATCACCACAGTACGCAGTGCGAAAGTCTCACGAGGTTGGCGATTCACGGACAAAACTAGCCTCGGACGCGACTCGAACCCGTACTTGTGCTTTCCGGGCTGCTAATCAGTTCAGGGCTGAATTAGTCGACCGGCTCATCACGTTCTACGTGTGAGTGCTGATAAGCTATGGCATATAAGCTATTGAGAAGGCGAGGGCAAGCGGGGTTCAGCAGTGTAAGGGATAGAGCACGGTGCCCGGAAAGAACGAGTACGAGTTTGAGACCCGTCCGAGACTGAGGTTTTGTCCATAAATCGCCATTCTTATAAACAGGTAGTACTTCCTGAGAAGCGTTCTCTGAACAAGAACGAGAGCTCTTGATGTCCTAAAGGTCTCTAGTCACTTTTTAAAATTATTGATATAATTTTAAAAAAGTGACTAGAAACCTTGTGGTGGGGAAAGAGTAGCTGAACTCAAACTGAAAGTTTTTTCTCAAAGGAAGTTTCGCAAGACTGTGATTTGTTTCCTTTGATTCATATCGTTTTCTTTGCTTCTGATTTTGGAGTTCGCTTCTGTTTGTTTATTATTTTTGCAAGGTTCCTTTTGCTCACTTCTTATTCAAAGGTAATATTTTGCTTCGAAAAGATAGATTTTCAGGGCTGTAGACAACACGCGCGTCCAGTTGTCGCAGGATCGGGTCTCCGATCCGGAGGATCTCAAGAGATTGTTCCGGTTTTCGATTCCGGCTCAGGTGAGGAATACATGGATCATTTCATGTCCATGGTCATTGGGGACGTCATCAAGTTAGATACCTTTCCATGGATTTGATGATGTACGCCTTTTTTCTTCGTACTACATCTACCCATCAACTCAAAATCGTGAAATCTTGGCAATAGTTCCAGCACTAGTGCAGGGGCCAGAATCTCAGCAAAGAAATTTTTCAAAGTTCGGTCTTACAGGGAGTAGAAATTTAATTGATTTCAGGCAGTTGAGCTGAGCAAAGCTCGTGACATCTACGAAGAAAGCGTGCGACTCGTTCACGAACACATCCAAAGAGGTTCGTTCGAGCAAGCTCCAGTAATTTTGAAACTTTCGAATGACAAAGTTCAATTCTTTTGTCTTCTTCGGTATTATTTGATGTGAATGTAGCAGTGCTGACAAAGAATATACCACTAAGAAGCAGAGAGTTAGAGTGCTTAGGTTTCGATAGCGCGATTGGCAAGATCGTGAGGTTATGGTTACATGACCAAGTTAGGATAGAGACAGGCGATTTTGCCATATCCAGATAACTCATCACCCTTACTATAGCTACAGTCTTCTCAAGACTCTCTCACAACCACAATTACACTCTTTTATTTCATTCTGTGATCGAAACATTCTTAAACCCTTCATGGCACTTGGATATGTAAGCAGGAACAATTGTGCGCTGTTTGGAAATCAGAAGTATGAGTCTGAGTCTTCCCCGCGATCGAAATTTTGTCCCTTACCTCAGTACCTCAGCAAAATTGCGACGAGAAATACAGTCAATTCCACCCAACCTTGAAATAATCTCTACGCATCGCCTCGAAATTTCATATGTTTCTGGGCTGAGCACTTTCTCCATTTCCTTCGATTGGTCCCCTTTTTTCTTCATTCATTACAATTTACTGTTACAGTGAAGCCTCACTCCCTAAATTATCATTCTGTAGAAAGTGCCGACCTAGAGCTTCTTCTCACTTCATGAGTTCCCATGTCAGCGAGACAATACTACCCTACCGAAAGTATACCAAACCAAGGTTTCCCCTAAACTTCTGAATCTCTTGTTTAACAGTTGTTCAGGATGAATGGTATTACTGTGTAATTGTTCCGATTATTCTTTATTTTAGCACTTTAGTGAGTCATTATTGTTCCTAATATTTTTCTCCAATAAGTAGTTTATAGTATGTGCCTTGCATATGCCCATTTCTCCTAGACCCTTGCTGAACTTTAGGACTTCGCCTCCCTGTGGATAAGCTGGCACCAAAGAATGTTTCCTATGAAGCCGTGCTGGCCCCATCACACGTTCAAACTCTCATGGAGCTTTCCGGATGTCAAACTGGGCAATTCAAGAGTGCCTGTAATGATCTGTGCTACCACAATAAATACAGGTGCGTGGAATTTCTCGGGTTCAGGCACGAAACGGCCTAAACTTGTCCAAAGACAGCTAATCGATGTCATTTTTACAGATCCTACGATGGTCAATGCAACAATTTCGAACATCCGATGTGGGGAGTGTCACAGATGCCGTTACTTCGACTGTTGCCACCAATTTATGAGAACGGCTTCAGTACACCGGTCGGATGGGAAAAGGGACGGCTCTACTACGGATATCCCAAACCGAATCCACGTGATGTAAGGAATATCGATGACCTTTAGTCAGGATCTTCCCCTTTTTTCTTTTTTTCATTTACTTTTCTTCATCGAGTTTCTCCCGAAATCGCTCTTTTGAGGGCTTCGTCACAGTCTGACATCTCTGACTTCGAAATTAAGCTTTCTGAACCTCTCCAACTTTAGTTTTCTATATTCTTCTTGCCTTCGTTATCTTGACCGCTTTTCCTTGCTTTTTCTCATTCTTATTCATTTTCTTTCCTCTCTCTTTTCCGTAACGCCGCTGTCAACCTCCTCCTTCTTTCCTTTTATCATCTGCTCTCGGAACCTTATTTTTCTCAATTCCCTCTACCTTTTTCTCCAGTGCTTTCGCGATTCATTGGAAACCATTCAGGTCTCACGAATACTTGTGGCTACCGAGTCTATCACTCCGCACTCGTACCTATCAGCGATGGTTATGCAGTGGGGTCAATTTATAGGTGAGCCGTACCTTTGAAACCTAAGGTTAAACTTCGATCCCGTTGTTTTCAGATCACGATCTAACCCACACTGCTACGGCGCTTTCTAGACAAAGCTATTCATCTGGAGCTATCTGCAATAAGACGTGCGAGAATCTGGATCCTTGCTTCAATATTCCCCTGTCACCCAGTGATCCTAAGCTGCATACTGGAGTGTATGTTTTGTCTTTTTCAGCCATTCCCACAATTCCTGCAGGTCCTGTTCATCCGTAGTTCGAACCGTCATGAGCCCAATCTGTGTTACGTTCCTTTCGAGTAAAGACCAGATGATGGGAATTAGGTACCCAGGTCGCAAAGTTAGTGTGTAATTCTTGCTTGATGTTCTTACAGATTTGTGCTGCTGTCACTGTCCCTCTGCAGTAAGGTCAAAATGATACTGGAATCGTTTACTCAATGATATAAACGAAAAACCTACAAGATGCATAAAAGTTGTTCGATTGTTGGGTAATGGATATAGCAAGCACCGTTGTTGACTTTGAAAACCATGGCCTATCTCGGTTACGAGGTGGGAAGAGGCTGGACCTGTAACTCCATAGAAGACAAAAATCAAACGATGTTATCTGTTCGGCGGGCCACCCTTAATGAGAGTCGATTAATATACTTATAAATTTCAGGCATCAAAAGTATCCATGCATCGAATTCGAGCGAAGTGGTGCAGTATGCGGTAGCGGAGAGACGTCGTTGATTTTCCAGCGTGTCACATACAGGGATCAAATGAACATTGTAAGTAATCGCTGAGGTAGAGTATACACTTCAAGTTGGCACGAATGTCGGCTACAGGGACGGTGCCATCGCACGGCTCGAAATGTCGTGGCGCGCAAGGGAGTAAGGTAGTGGGAAACAACTAGAGCCTGTAGGGTTTAGCAGAGGCCATAGAGGGAGTCGCGCTCGTTCGCTTCGTTCTAACTGAAGCACTCCAAAAATGTCCGGTGCTGTCTTCCAGCAAGCACCATTTGCCACACCCTGTAATCTGTGGGTATCGTCGGAGTAGCAGCACCTAAGACAAACTAGCCTCCCTTCAGATTTTAACAAAAACTTTGATAGTCTGGATTGTTAGAAAGGACTTGACCTCAAGTCCCACAGAATCACTGCTTTTAGAACTCGTAAAGGCGAAAGCCGCCTTAGTAACTACCGTCCCAGCTGCAGTGTTGTGGGTAGCACTTGGGGATTGAAAGAATGGTTATGAAAGACTGCCATCATTGGCGGAGGGTGGCTAGTGGCAGAGTTCTAAGAAGGATTATCACTGATGGTGGGAACATAACCAATAAGTGCTACCTAAAAATGACGCTGTTTCTTGAACGCTCCCATTGTACTCTATACACATCGTACAAAACCTGTAGGTATGTAACTGTAACTACAGTCTTTTTATTTTTGATGACGCTTAATTCCAGATTACTTCCTACTTGGATGGTTCGATGATTTATGGCAGTACAGAAGTACAAGCATTGGAACTTCGAGATCTTTTCGGTGATCATGGATTACTGCGGTTCGATATTGTGTCAACGTGAGTGCTCATACCTTCTGATCTTTTAGTAAGCACGAAGTGAACTTCGGCTAAGGAAAACCAGCCACTGATCACAATTTCTCTTCACACCAAGAGAGTTGGGATCATACCTTAAAGATTTTTTCTGATTTGGAATTATTTTTGCTAACAGTTGGGAGCATTACATTCCGAGAACAGATACTGCAAGTGGTCAAAATTTGGAAGTCCGCGATTATTTTGCATTCTCACCCCCTCCGTCACATTCCTATTCCAACTTCAAGAATAAAGTCTGTGCCACCTCAGAATATACTTATAAACTTCCTATTGTAGCATGAATAAATGTACTGTCAAGCTTGGATCATAGGATGAAGAAGGAGAAAAGGGGATGAAAATTTTGCGAATTTATTTTGTAGCATCAGCCATCCTTCGCCACCCATGAATCTACAGTTGTATGTAATCCTTCAGAAACTCTGCCACCAGTGTGCTCTTGCGAATGCTGGCAGTCCTTGATAGCTATACTGTGATCTGATGACGTGCTTTCCTATTTAGGGGACAAAAACCGTACCTGCCATTTGAACGCGACTCGGACATGGATTGTAAGCGGAACTTCTCGCAAGAGAATCCGATACGGTGCTTCCTTGCTGGTGATTTGCGTGCCAATGAGCAGGTTAGTGCGGAGCGATTCGGTGCATTTAGTAAAACAACTATTTCTACAGTTTTTGCAGTGGTTTCCAAGTTCATCGAAATTAACACATTCGGCACTATAAAAGTTCTAACTTCTGAATAGTATCAGCACGTTAACAGTTAGTTGTCCAAAAGAAATGAATAGGCAAAAATTGATTTCCACTCATTTATGTCCATTAGTGGTTCATATTCATAATACGTTTGTGAAGTTTGTTCAACTTACTATCAGAGTCAGCAACTGTAGGAACTGAGTTCTTCCTCTTGTGGAGTCAGTCCGATGACATATGTAAATACACCAGAGGAGAGTGAGAAAAAAGGGTCTTTTCACCTGAGTACTTGTACTGTACTGTGACGTCATGCATTGATTTCTCTGCCATTAACAAGAGGGCTGTAAAACGTCCTCATGTTAGTGGCAGAGAAATTAATTTTGGGCTTTGATTTTTCAAAATAAATATGAGGACCTGCAAAAAAAAACAGTGAAGGAAGCACTTTTTTCTCTTCCACATCTTTACCTTTGTACTTATCTTCTCGTTCCACACAAAAGTCTGAACAGTAATACATAAACAATATAAATACTGCCTCCAAAAAATTTTGACTAGAGCGCCTTCAAGGGATACTGAACTAGAGCTACTGCTTACTCTACTGACAACGAGTAGTAATACTTTCAGCTCGGTTTGACTGCTATGCATACACTTTTCCTTCGTGAGCACAATCGAATAGCTGCCAAGCTGCTCGAGTTGAATGTGAACTGGGATGGAGAAACGATTTTCCAAGGCACGTCTTATTTCTATTCCGCAATTATTCTCAGGACAATTCTAAAAAACGTTTGCATTTGCAGAAGCGCGCAAAATCGTTGGTGCTATTATACAGCACATAACTTACAGCGAATGGCTTCCGACCGTACTTGGCAAGGTGAGAAACAAGATCAAAACCATTTTATCAAATTGGCAAAAAAATAAATACCGACCCAATCACGACCCGTCGTGTTTGGAACTAATGCTTTTTGTCGTCATTCATTGGTTATTGTATCGTTCATACAGTACTGAGTCTTCAGTCTTAACTAAGGAGAAGGGGAAACATGGGTACTGGATAGTTTAGAGCGGAGATAGGGCAGCGCTAATTTGCGTACTACCACTCCATGTGCAGTTCCATGATTGTCAAATGCAAGAATGATCCCTCCTTAGTCAAGCATGCCTTCCATCCAGACACTGTCGGTTAGTTGGTGCCAGGGTTGACTGAGAGTATGAAAAGCTCTGACTTGTGTATCGGTCCCTGCAACTCTTTGGAAAGGTCACATATGAGCACAGAACGCCTTGCCGATCCTGAGTGGAAAGCGCGAACACCCAATACCATGTCCCCCGATAGTGCAGGTAGCCAAGTAACATCGTGGGAAGAGAGGAATTCTCCTATCGTTCTCGGTAAATGAGCGATTCAACGACATTCAGTCGTATTTAATCTGATCTAGTCTATTCTAGATCGGCTACAATGAAATGATCGGCGATTACGGTGGTTACAATCCACATGTTGATCCTTCAATATCGAACGCATTCGCGACAGCAGCCTTCAGGTGAGAGTAATTTTCGAGACGGTTTTTTTATTACACTGATGAGCACAAGGCCACAGCAGAACCGCAGACTGCTCAAGCGCAACGGTCCATCCTGTGATTACCAGTTTCCTTCATGAAAATCATCTTAAATTGGAAAGTAAGAGATAAGACATAAAATACCAGCTACCCTACTACTTTATGTCAGCACTTTTCAATTCTTCAAATTGAGGCGGAATGCGGAAGCATGGCGCCTTCGCTTGCATCCAACAAATTTTCTGTTAGGCAGCAATAGGCTACCTACTGTTGTTTTGAAACAGATTTTTCTTACTGTTTTTTTCCTTAGCAAGCATGTTGTCGCTATATCGACCCCAACCAACATTATCGTATCAATACTAACCGATACTTTCAAGCTTCAAGATGTAAAAACATGGCCAATTCATGTTCTTTTCCGAAATATTATTTCATTTTTCAAATATCATCTCTGAATCCCTGCAGGTTCGGTCACACTCTCATCAATCCCACACTGTTCCGTTACGACAAGGACTTCAATCCGATCAAGGATGGACATATTTCTTTGCATAAGGTATGGTTAGTAGCCTTCTCTGCAAGAAAAATTGTGATTGTCCGGAAGACTTAAACAGAACCGAGGAACCCTGTGCTTGCCTATATGAAGAAGTTTGAGCTTTTACAAAAGTGATCCAGGTCAAAAAGTCCACTCGAGAAGTTCTATCTACAGAAATTTTTAGCGTCAATGTTACTTTCAACATCAAAAACAAATGTGAAATAAATTGGAGGAGCTTGGGAGAGTGGCTGTGAGAAGTGCATGGGATGCTAATGCACCAATGGACATTTTCATAAAAGAGAATACCAATAAGTCGTTGCTATCGGCAATGCGAATACCTTTTCTGCCTTTCTTGAGTATAGATCTCAGTCAGTTATTGGTGTGGGAAAAAANAAAAAATGTCTGCATTGGATATTTCCCAAGCCGCCTTTTGTCACCTATCATTGTTCTGTGGGACCCGCAATTATGAATGAAGTCAACAGAAGTTCATCTTTACTACTACTTACTGATAAGTGTGGTCCCGTTCCTATTTTTGATACCTCTCTCCCATTTTCCTCTCTCCCAACGGGCACGGGGACACTGCAGAGTCGGGTTTCGGTTTCCGGTGTGCGCCGGAGTAGCGTTATCGGAAGAGTTCGGCACTTGAAGTATGTAGAGTCTCGTGGTTTGTACTAGGAACCCATTAACAATAGATGTTATTTCTGTCCTGATTGAACTGTCATCTGCTCTTTTCAACTTTATTTCAAAGTTCTGACGTGTAATCGTTTATATTGGGTTGTAACATAAGTTCGTAGAGTTTTTCCACGAAGATTTATTTGAAAAAATCTTTGTAAAATAACTCTGACGCAAAACGCTACGAAGTTATGTTGCAACCCAATCCTTTGCTATATATGCAGGAACGTACATCAGATACGTTTGTCTCCCCTGCAGGTGATTCCGCTTTCTATCATAGAGACCTTCCCTACTACCGAATATCTAATTATAAGAACAAAGCGAACATGTGATACGAGTAGCGTACCTATTAATACATCTCAGCAAGCAATGAAGTGTAAATTCTATTTTTGTACGAGTGCACATCTAGGACATCAGCTATTCAAAGCACTGATCTTGGTATCCATATCATTAGCTGTTACAGCGAATTGCTAAACCACTAGGTTTGGTTCTGACCCCTGACCGTGTTCTTCTTAAAGCTGGTTGATTGTCAATGGTTTACGATTATATGGTTTCAGTAAATTTTGCTTGTGACTCTCAAGAGCGTAGCTCTGGACTGTTTTGTGAACTCTAGGGAGGACAGAAAGCTCAAATCTCGCAGTAATATTCCGAAGGACTTCTGCTATCCAACCCGGAGGAGCCTATCAAATATTGGAATACACAGGCTTCCTGGTCCTGCATAGCTCTTCCAGAGGATGTTATGTAGTTGTAGTCAAAATCTAATGTTTATTTTAGGCGTTCTTTGCTCCTGAACGACTATTGGCCGAAGGTGGTATCGACCCGCTTGTACGAGGATTGTTCGCTTCTCCATTGAAGATGCCTATGCCAAGCCAACTTCTTAACATGGAACTCACCGAAAAGCTGTTCGACCGCTTCCATGAAGTTAGTAGCAGAGTGGGGCAGATTGGAGAATTACAAAGTATAAGGGAGAAAAACGGGAATTCCCTTCAAGTGTAAGTTTTTACGGAATGCTAAGGAGCTGCCGTTCAAAATAAGAATGGACAAAAAGGCGAGATAAGTAAGGAAGCTGTGAAAGAGAAACGTATATGAGAATTGGGAACAAAAAGAAGCACTGGGTCACAGAGATGATCAACTGGCTCAGATCAGGTCAGATAAGTAAGTATTATTATTTCGACAGTGAATGATTACTTCTGATCTGAGAATAAGAGGGGAGTGTGTTGACACGCAAGTGATGAGAAAGGCTAAGAGATGTATAATTGCAAGTACGAGCAACTATACAGTCAAATTGATGCTCAGGGAAGCAAGGAAGGTGCCCTGAAATGAATCTTAGGATTTCGGAGTACGTTCTCGCATGCAAGAAATTACTCTCGTTCAGGTTGCTCTAGACTTGGCGGTGATGAATATTCAACGCGGACGAGATCACGGTTTACCAGGGTGAGTAATCCACTTCTCCCGTGATATCTACAGAGAACTTCACGATTACATAATATTTTTACTTATATGTGTGATCGTCTGCCGATCACCCACTCGTGGGAGACGGACAGTAGGAACGGTTTTGTATCGAATCGATCCGCCGCACGCGGCTGTCGCGGACCATTTGCCTCACTATAGCAGCTCCAGCGTTCTTCATATAGCCGAATCGCTATGCGNTTATTACTTTTGACATGATTCTACTGTTAGTTCTTTTGTTCCTGTCTTTCTTACTTGCTGCTGCATCCTGCTACATTCCTTCGCGCGCAACGTCTCTCTCGCCGCAAGCGCCGATTTCGTTCCTACTGCAACATATTCCCCACTGGGTCCTAGTTGTTTCTAAGTTAGAGTATTCCAAGGCATAACCATCTCAAAAATCTGGAAGGAATAAAGTGACAGTTAAAAGGCACGAAGGCTTGTTGCGTTGAGGGATAACTAATCAGCGCGTTGCGAGTCAACTAGCAAAGAATGGCCCCGCATTTGGGAGGGTCTAGAATTCCCGCAGTACACTCTAACATCAGAATTGGCAGAAAATGTGTCAAATGTCAATTTATTTTATCAACTTCGGCCCACTCTATCCTCCATAATAATAATCCTTGAACCGTTTCTCTTTTCCACGAAAGGCAATATTCCTTTTTTTGGATTTCACTTCTACTGAGAGCCTTTCAGTTACACTGAGTATCGCCGTTTCTGTAATCTCTCTGTACCCCAAACATGGGATGATCTCGCTGCTGACATTCCGGACGCTTCAGTCCGTGCAAAGATGAGGAGCCTGTATGGAGATCCAGGTTCGGCTTTTTGTTGACAATAAACAGCCCGCTATCGAAAACTTATGCACTATTTATAGCTAATGTCGATTTATGGGTTGGTGGTATTGCGGAACAGCGTCTACCGGACGCATTGATGGGACCGACTTTCGCCTGTATCATCGGCGATCAGTTCAGGCGTCTGAGAGATGGCGATCGATTCTGGTATTTTTTATTTTTGAAATTACAAATTTGACCATTTTATCCCGATGCCTTTTCCACGTATCTTTCGTTTTCATTGGTTGAATACTAAGAAAAATGTAATTGTTTACAATTAGCTCTGTGGCTTCCTTCCGCTCATATGAGCTTCACTCAGGTGTGTCTTGAAGCTGGGCGACTTTTAAGGTAAATTAGGATAGAACTGCCATTTCGCGAAATGCGCTTAAGAGCAGGAAGGGATACTCTCTGCTGAGCTTTGCTGTTGACTACAGTGGGTATGTGGAATGAGGTCTAGCGATGACTAACAGCGAAGTTCTCATTATTATGTGCACAGGTATACATCACCATGACCTTCACCATTGGAATTCATGGGACAATAGTTACGGTTTGTAATCCTTCTTCTACGCGCTCAAAGGTACAGTTCATGGTGAAAAATAATAGTTTCCCTGATTTTTCTTTCGAATGAAGCTGTGACCACGAGGATAGCACACAGAGCGCTGTCGGGTGAAAAAGCGGTATAGATAGGGCCTGATAAGAGCCCTAAAATTGGCTAAGCCGACATCTACCCCATCCTACTACAATGTAGAGGCTGTAGAGGTTGCACCATTCACACATGGCGCACACGTTACACTCGGGCAACTTACTGTAGCTAGCTGTACGCCATGGCGCACACATTTGAACGGCTCGTCCAAATACAACTTCCATGCAACTTTTTCTACACATTATCGCATAACCCCTAGATTGAATACAATTTCAAGGCTTCACACTTCTCCTAACACGCCGATTTTCGCGTTTTTTTTTTCGCCGCTTTTGCACTTTTCTGAACTATCACTTTCATTGCTCGTCTGAAATTACATACCCCAAAATACCGTGAACTGGGCCCTAATACATGTTGCACAGAATAGTAGGGACGTTTGATTGCGTATGCAGCCATTACAATGATTTGCTAGGCCTACCTATCACTTGGAAGGCATACTAAATCCTGAATGAAGAAATCCAAGGATTTATGCGGGTTATATCCCAGCACCTCCCGTTTAGCAGCACTTCTTTTGACACAATCCCACCCAATTATTCAGTGGCATGTCTCAATAACGTCATTGATGTAATACGCCTACTCAGGTACGAAAATGATGGCATCTTCACGAAGTTGCAACTCCAGCAAATAAAGAAAGCTTCATTAGCTCGGATATTCTGCGACAACGGCGACAGTATCGATCGTGTGCAGGTGGGACCACTACCTATCTGAGCTACTATTGTAGAGTGTCGTGTCGCTGTTATGAGGAATTCGAAGTCTCTACGCATATGACGTTTCCCTATCGCGACACCTCATTCTATGTACCATTTGTTATTTCGGTTTATCACAAGATACACGAAATCTGACACTGTTTTATTACATTTTAGCGCAACGTTTTCTTCTATCCGGGTAACTCAACGAAGCAATATGGACGGTGTGAAAACATTCCTGAAATCAACTTGAACATGTGGATGAACTGCTGCGACACTTCATGCAGTTTATCTCCGCCAACGTCAAGGTCCGACATCTGCTCTATTCAAACAGATATTCACTTGCTTTTCTGAAAACTTTTGACACCAGTTCTGGCTTGTCTTTTCAAAGTCTATTTGTGGATAACAAGTGTTCGGGCTCTGTTGGGCTTCCAAGCTAATCTACAGGGACTCATAAATTTTCAAAAATTCCGAGCAATATAGATGTAATTCATCAATGTCAATCTCCTGTAACTAACATTCATGTGGTTCGTGGCTGGGTTCTTGCAAGAAAAAGGATCAAGAAATAAGCCGATTGCCTACCCTTTCAACTTCGCCTTTGCTTCCGAACCTTTTTTATTCCCTTGCTCTAGAACCACCACCAAGCCGCCGTTAGGTAGCCAACGTCAGGAGCAGCGTAGAAGCGCCAAGAGGATTCACTGAATAATTTAATGAAACAAAATTATCGGAATCATCGAGTGTTGGTGAATATGAGCTCAACCTTGCTGTCCACAACCCCTAGAACCAGGCCACTTCCTCTTGCTACTGAGGCTCGCAAGCGATCTCTAGCGTTTTTTAGCGAAAGCATTCGAAAAAAAAGGATGGCGTAGGAGTATTCAGCAATTTTTCAAGTACCAGGTTGTCGTGGGTGAGTGAAGAAGGCCCGACAAGCTACTCGAACATAGGCGTCCGCCTCGAATGGTTACGTTGTACACGGCCCATCAATTTCTAAGCCAGTCCAAAAAGTCGTAATATTTATGAATCCCGATCAAGCTAATTGCTTGGATAGCCGATGCTTGTCCAATTCTTTTTGAGAAACTTTTCTGGACTAACAATTGAATAAATGGAGTTGATAGTACCCATTATCACCTTCAGCAAGACACACTAGTTCCACACAGTCTAATTGAACGCTACGCAGCCGCGCGCGTCTAGGGCATGCGATTCGCGCGGTCGCTTCGCACTTGTTCTCTATGTAGCCGCTACTACTAAAAAGTGTTTTTTGTAGCCGAAAACGTCGCGCACACAATTCATGTGATGTGAATGGCGAGAGGCGACACCATGGTGATCACTGGAGTGAAGACAAATGCACCACTTGCAAATGCGATGTGAGTTGCTTTCTTCTCAACAAGTTCTTTTCCAGCTCGCTCTTGTGAGCGCTAAACTCTTCCTGAACAGGCCGTTTTTCTCAATGTCTGAGTATCCTAAAGTAGAAATTTATAATGTCCGATGGTCTCTATTTTCAGCATGGCAAAGTTTGGTGTTCAGTGAGGGAGCATTGCCACGACTAGACCGCAATTTTTATTTAAATTATTTTATGATTTATTGTGCATGACATTTATTAGCGTGCTTTGATTCTGATCTTTAACACATGCTGGTTTTTATTTAATAGTTATCACTGATTAATGCAACCTGAACGCGTTCGCTATTCTTGACAGCCGAACACGCTGCGCGACCGCGCGCTCGGTTGTTACGTGTTTCGGACACAGTCAGGTCATTGTGATGCATCCATGTGTTTTTGTGTTTAGCCATTCGTGTGCGTGTATGTAAGATTTTTTCATTGAGAAATGATGTTTTTAGTTGTTAAATCATTCAATTTGACAATATGTACTACTATACTGGCTATTGACATTGGAATGAAAAGAGACAATCGTAGATTCAGGAAAAACTGGCTTAGAATCGACTAATTGGGTTAATCGGAATCCTTGCAAGCAGGAAGTGAAGTCACGTTGAGGCATATCCAACTAGACATATCGCCACATTGTTCGAGAGAGGAAATCGTCCAAGAAGATTCAGGTTGATACTACCGGAGCCACAGTAGGAGCAGCTGGTCATTTTCTCGGCGGGCAGGGCAACAATGCAGTTCATTCCAACGCCTCTTTGTACTTCCGCAGTTCTTCTTGTGTTCGACTCCATGGTCTCGTTGAAATCAGTCGTGTTTCAGTCTTTTCCTTCTTGCAAGTGAGAGAGGGCAGTTTGCACACAGAGGCGAACATCGGGTGTGAACACGCTCTGGAAATCAGCAATGTAAGGGGTGGGTCTGGAACACTGATTGAACATGAGGTCTGACTTACCGCTTGTTAGCGTCCTCCCGAGTTTTGCAGGATCGCCTGCGAGGATCACTGCTTCGAGATCGGAAACCACGGATAGCATCTGAAAGAGAATTGTGAATGCTAGGGAATTGTGCTTTTTGAAAAATCACAATTTCAAATTCCCGCTATTTCGTTTACAAATATGTCTCTTGGTTCTTCATCGAGCTGGTCGCTGGTCGAGTAGTTCAAGGCGTGATAGTCTAAGGAGTGGTCGGACGTTTGGAATAGAGCGAAATAGCGCGTCCCAAAATGTTTCGCTCCCGGGTGGGCTCGAACCACCAACCTTTCGGTTAACAGCCGAACGCGCTGCCGATTGCGCCACGGAAGCACGTGCAACACTCAATACGGGCACTCTATGAGTGATAAGGACAGGGCACCACGCCAATTGCACTGATGGAGAGGAGTTGTGAGCAGATTCAGTGAAATAGGTTGTAAACATAAATGAACCTATTGACCAATTGGTACATATTTAGTAAAATACGTTCCTTATCACCTCTCCTTTATTGCTTATATTGCCCCTTAACTATGTAAGTCGTATATCTATTGACTGAGAAGTATGTAAAAGTATCTCGGTAGGTCTTCCTCCTCGAAAAAATTTCAAACCGCCTCATGACTGTTCCTTCAAAATTTGAGAAAAGCCCTACATTTATAAAAACGAGGTTCTGGCGTTCGTTCAGTGGGCCGCCTCGAGTTGAACTGCTGTAAATTCTATTGTGTTTCAGGCTTACTTTATGCGTCACCCCTTTTCTAGTTTTGACTAGTGACAGGGTCCGAAACTTTCAAGATCGCCTATATTTGCGTGTAGCGAGAAGATTTGGTGGGAGTCCATTTTATGAGGCGCCATCTAGCGTCCTGTGATTTTGTATGTTATGCCCATGTCTCATAAAGTATAAAAGGATAAAGTGTTTGGCATCAATCATTCCCGTCTGAGGGATGCACCCCCGCACACTCGACTTCCACTCAGAATCATAGCGGCGTAATGAGTGCGTATGTGGCCTGTACAATGACTTGCGATGGCCAGCCGATGCACAAGTCAGTGCTTTTAGCCTCCCAGACGAGTCTGATACCAATCAACCGACCCTGGAGGAATGGAAGGCTCGTTTGTCTTAGGCGGATTCGTTCCGGGATTCGAACCCCTGACCCCGTGCTTGTGAGTGAGTGTGCACTTGCCACCATCGCCCCGGGAAAACCATTAATATTTTATATTGTTGCGGGGGAATCGTTTCTTGGATTGGGCACTTTGTTACAATGGGCTTACAAAATAATAAAAAGAAAACCATAACAACATGAAATAGGCAACAGGTGTGAGATGGGAAAACTAAAGTACATAGTCGTGGGGAAAAATTATTACATTGTGAAAATCACGCACTAACCGAAAGTGCAAGATTGACAACTTGCTTCAGGCTAAAAATTTACTAACTAAGCAGAGAAAACCTCTCTTACTTCTTTCCACCCCCTGTTTCTTGATATCACGCCAACTTAGGTGGTTTAAAGCAGTCTTAAGTACGCGGTGTAGGATCCACTGCGAGTGATGAAACCTTTATAGGGTGTTGAAACAAAACCACTTCTGGGTTTGTTGCTCCACAAGCGAAGGAATATCAAAGCCCTATTTGTGCCCTATCTAGCCCGTTTTTCGGCAGGACAATCGGCAGTGGGCTATCTTTGAGAGCTAGGGATTCGTCTCTGTGGGGAATCTCAGGAACAATTTTCATCTTAGATTGTGCCTTTAAACGAAGCCACTCTACCGGCGAAACGTGGAGGCTCGAAGAGGCTCCTTCCATCTTTGGCCCAAGTTGACAACTCTTCGATAATGGGGCAATGTACGAAGTTCGAAGTTTAAGCTATCGCATAATATATTTTCCTGAGTATTTTTTTTCTGATTTTTCGCTTCTTTTCACTGCAGTGGATGACAAACTTCAACGAAATTTTGAAAAACCATCCTGACGTCGCTACTACGTACCTTACCGCGACGTTCTTGTGTTTGGTTTTTTTGCGTTACTGCCATGATTGCGGAATTTACAAATACAACGATTTCATTCAAAAAAAAATTACTGTCCAGAGATGAAGTACTCACCGTCTATACTAAATTCTGCCTGCCGTTCTTTCTTGTTTGTGTCAAGAGTAAATGTACGATTCATGAACGAGTTCTCCTGCTCTAACAATTTGTTGGCGAACCTGAAAAAAAAATTGAATGTGAATGGTATGGCGGAGTAAGCAAGTAACAGTAGCTATAGCGATCAGTGTAGGATCAATTCCAAAATAATTATTGTGAGTTGTTAATCCAATGATCAAATATTCGCAGAAAAACTGTATTCTAAAGAGCGAAAATGCCAGTGAAGAGAATTATTTCCTCTTTACAAGGCAGAGCGCGCATTCAAGATCCCGGTCGAATAGGTTCACATCACAGGGGAGGAGGACAGTTCAACTGGTCTTGTGTTATCGGTTCGCCGCACGCGGCAGCCGCAGAATAGTTGCCTCGTTATTGCAGATCTAGCTACCTGCTTCATATAGCACGGTTATTCCATTATTATTCTTGGCGTGATTCTACTGTTACTTCTTTTATTCCCTGCATTCCTTAATCGCCGCGATGCTTCCGATCCTCCCTGCAACATTCTTTCGCGCGTAACGTCGCTTTCGCCGCGAAGCGATCATTTCGACTCAAGTGCACCACACCCCATCACAGCCTTTCAGATGAATTTTGGTGCTGTCACCCTCAAGGTTGTTACTGCCCTTGATACAATTCAACATGCTTAGGTAAGGGCTACAACTTTGAGTACAAACAATCAGTCTCCCTATTCATTCTCAGAACCCAGAAAGTACAGTTTTACAAAGGTTACTTCTCTAAATGAATGACGTCGAAAGCCTACATACAATTAGTGAAATACGATTCTTCAAATTGGAAAGCGACTCAATTCCAAGTACTCATAACTACATCATCCCTGAATTTGCGAGAAAGCTTGTGAGGATTTCAGTGGCGACAAATATGGCAAACCGTTCGGAAATTGGAATCTCTCACTCGGAAATCGTAATTTATCTCTTTTATTGTCAACAAACCCTGATCAACAATAATCCAGTCACCTGCCACTGCTTTCAGGATCCCCGATAGAAGTGCCGTGCGCGGCGTACCTTGAGAAACTGGGCTAANAAAAAAAAGATTTTGCTGTGTGCAAAGCGAGCGGAAAATTTTTAAAATTTTGTAAACGATTACTGTAGCTCAAAAGTGGTAGTATAGGCTGGTGAATCTTAGAGTGGTCTTACTTTCTAGGTGAATACGTCACAAGAACTTCCGATTACAGAAGTAAGACGGAAAGGGACGCTTTGACAGCAGTGAATGTCAACAATTACATAGTCGTTAGGAGGTGTAGAGGCGTAATTGCTGCGCTGAGCTTGGCTACCTGTATTAAATACTGTTTATACCATATGCTACTAGGACAGCTTCTGACCAACGATCGCCATAAGGCAAGCAGGGGTATGGAAGGCCATGGGACTGTAGATTCATTGAAGTCTACATTTCTTTCGACGCCGATCAAACCCACTTCTGAGATGCGTCCCCACGTTCGATTTCCATTTAGAATAGTAGTGGCGCTTCGAATGTGTGTGGGTGGCTTACAATGACTGTCTGTCACCCACCAATATTACGTAAATGCTTCTACTCTCTCAGACGAGTGTGACGTCAATTAAATGATCCCGGAGAGGTGGAAGGTTTATTTGGCCTGGGTGGGTATCGATTTGAAATGCAGTCACCAGAACATGCATGTGACAGTGGACGTCACTTGCCACTACTTCATTTCCTTCATTAACAATTTATGTGAATGAATAGGATGAGCTCATGACTGGAATTTTGTCGATTCTGAGGTAGCCACTCACGGAAGGCATATCAAAGCTGTTTATTCATATTACACTGTGGAAGATGCTCCTGCTGAGTCACAATACCAAAGGTCACACATCAACAGGCAGCTACTAGTCGTCTTTATTTCAATGACCTCGGAATCTTATCTGTTAAGACTCCTCTCTTACTGAAGGTTCTGAAGTCTGTTGGTTTGTGGTGGCCCGAGGTGGTGGATAGAAAGTAAAACGCGGACTGAAAACTATCATGCACCTGTTTTGAGATACTGGCAGACTTCGCAACTCCCTGCTTTGCCTGGTTTATACTTTTTGGCCTCCCACGGGACTAAATAAGCTGACGTGATGATGTGGTTAAGAGTGGTTGACCGCATGACTGCTCAGTTGGAAGTTTGCAGCTTAGGATGAATAGCTGGAGAACTTTGGACGGTACGGGATCTTCTCAAGTAAACAAATCTCTTATCTGTTATGAGATCCGCATGCGTGCCTTATGGGTATACCCATACCCAATTACAGCTTGTGAATACACTCAAGGGAATCCCAGTGCTTAAGACCGTATTAGAACTCTTTTTTTGTGAAGGTGAAAGAGTGCCCAGGGCTGCAGCTTCTGTATCGCTGGTACGGTATCTCTGGGCTGTCCATAGCAGAAAGGCACAGTCAATCTCACATCTTCAGTCAGAATAGTGATGAGCTATGCCACAGATTGTGCTACGGCAGAACATGGATCGCATGCTATTTCTTCCTAAACATAGACTTGGAAGACAAAAAAGGTGGATTCTCAAAATCAGGCAAAAGTCTGTACATCAGAGTACAGCCTGTAGAAAAAATGTAGCTTTGCCGGAGAAAAAATTGTAAATACAAAGTACTACCACTTCGAGCAGCTGTGGCAAACATTAAAAAGTCATACAATTACTCGAATACCTCGCGGATACACGAGTGAAAGGGCAACTTTTTCTCACTTTGTCATAAAAAATCCTTTTAACACTTATCACGTCAGCAGTGCACTTCGCAGAAGGCATTCTTTGAAATCCAGTTAGCAGAAAAGGTTACGATAACTCATCGATGAGGTCTGGTTCACTTTTCAGAAGGGTTTAGGCGTTTCCCGGAAGATCCCTTTCCCACAGAAACCATTTAATCGACTCCCATCTAGCATCAGAAAGGCTCTTTGGCTCTTAAAATGCTTAAATCAATGTTTTCAAACTCACAGACGAGTTCGATATCAACCAATGCAACAGGTGGGTATGGAGAGCCTGCTTGGCCTTGATAGTTTCAATCCTCGACCCTCTGAGCTTGCGTGTGATAGTGCGCATCCTGGCACCGCACTACCTTCTCCCCTACGATGCCACCGAAAGGTGCATTGTAAACACCAAGGGAGTTCATTGCCGACCCATAAGATCTCTTCAAAGTTTTTCGACGCTATATGCCTCGCCAAGTTAAAGCAACCTGTTAGGAGATTAACATGTTTTTTTTTCTCTTTTTTGGAAGGGGGAAGGTTCTTGACTGGAAATTTAACCGAATACTTGTATAGTGAGTTACCTCAAACGCAGCTCACCTGCAGGTATTCCCCAAGTGGGGACCAACTAACCGAGCTGATGGCATAAAGAATAGAAGCAGTGAAATCCATGTTGCCTCCGTCCGCCCTTTTCCCGCTAGGTCGCAGGCAGCTCCAGAGGTTCTTCAGAGATTAGGGACAGACGGGGCTGCTCACTCTTACCCATCACCTTTCCCTTGAATTCCCATATGCTCAGGAATGATCTGAGCTCTCGTTAAGTAAATGAATAGAAGTTATAGTTGAAGTCTTCCACACAGATATTTATCATTTGTTCGGCATCTTTGATTTGATAACTTTTACCAAAGGAAAGCAGTTCAGGTATGACGGACGAACAAGCGGAAGGAATAGGAGACGGGAGGATGGGAAAGAGTGTGCGCAATGCATAAACTATCTCATATATGTATATGGATACAGCCGTTTTGAGCTAAAGTTCCCAAATCATGCAGAAGTCGTAGATTGCGAAAAACATCCGTCAGGGATTCTATTTCATGTTGTGAAAAAGCAGAGTAATTAGATACTCACGAGAATGTTGTGGGCGTTGGACGTTCTGCCACACATGGAGACGGTGGAACAGCTTCCTTCATGAGCTCTGAAAGCAGGATATCACAGCGATGAAGCTTCGACACTCAAAATGAATCGAATGGTAGCGAAAAGACCGAAAGTTAAAGTAGTATGAAGAATACTCAAGCTCAGGAACGGAAAATTTCTAACTTGAGGTCCTTCAGGATCAGCCCTGTTCACCATCCCTAATATCAGTGTGGGTCAATAGACTTGGTAATAGACTGCCGGTATAGAACATAACTCCTACTTTTGACTCAAACTAAGGTTGTGGCTCTTAGAATGAGATCGGCTACCGTTTGAAACTTCCCATTCACTTTATTGCTGTGTATCTTTCCGCTTCTTGAGGTAATAACGTTATGACACTACGTATAGGAAGTCCTTAACACCCTTCACAGATGTATACCTGGTGGATTTGAAGTCACAGGGGGGATCAAGGGCTCTTTGAAGTTTCTATGCGTTAACTTTGCAGTTCTTGGGAAGTTTGAGTGACTTCGAAAAGAACCTTTTATGTTACCAATACGTGGCAGGCTACTTCTGTACTCCAACACCTCCATCGAAGCGCCTTGGAATTTTCACAATCAGCAACTTGTTACTGTACAAGTCACCTGAATGTTCCAAAAATCAACAAACGTTCGATTTGCTCAACTGATCTCAATGAATGCAGTGAACGATCGAATAATTGAGGATTTCCGGGAATTTAGAAAGCCAGGTTGCTTCAGGAAGATTCAAAAGAGTGAGTAGCTTAGCTATAACGGGCAGAATAAAAAATAGGAAACTGGTGGAAAATAGTTTTTTCAGTAGTTGTAGTTTTCCTAGATCTTTTATTATTTTTTTTTNTTTTTTTTTTTGATAGCTGCTTGCTGCGAAAATCCTTCAATGGGAGAGGGATACGGAATGTAAACGGCTCCCAGTGGTGAAAGGTCATAGAATTAACGGAAGAAGAAAGCTTTCCAAGACGCAGGTGATTTTTGAGCCGATGTGATTGGAAGAGCTTGCTTACTGATATCACAACATTCACACCACCTGCCTTGGCCTATTTACGTTGCTCTAAGCTCAAGTTTTGATTACAGATCATCTAACCATTAGCAGACTTTCACTATTGCTTAGTTACCGGTAATGGCGGGTGTAAATCTAATGGGGTTGTAAGCGGGGGTTGAGAAGGCCTCCAGATCCCTTAATCACCGTGCAATTGAATCGTTTTCTTATTTGCACCCTTGGAGTGGAGAGGTCAGTCAGAGCTGAATGTGCTTCTAATAATAGTTACTGATTTAGTGCATGGCTATTTGGGAAATCATCCTGTCCAGTAGAAGTGGTCAAAATGTTATAAATATGGAAATGTAAAGAAATGCAAAATATCACTTACTAAAATCAAGTGAAAAAAGCAAAGCCTTAAAACTTTTAAAATTTCTCGAAGCGTGGACTAAGTGGAGCCGAGAATTCTCTACCTCCACCTTATCAGGAAGCCGCACTCTATGGTTCAGAAGTGGAAAATTATGATCTGATAAGTCCAGGAACTGGTAATAAGAATTCCTTTCACAACGTCGTATGAATGTTTGTACCAGCAGAAAAACTAAACAAGTTTTCCTGTTTTCAAGTACAGGTAATGGAGAATTCTACCTGAGGGGAAAAGTCTAGAGCCATATGGCACGAACTGACACTTTGAGAAATTAACCGCTTGAAAAAAGTCGCCTTCTGAAAGTGCAGATCCAAAAAAACAGCTAATATAAGAAGTGCTGGATTATTGAGGACTGAAGGGAACAAATTCTGCTTGAAAAGTAGAGATGCTTGTCGTGCAGAGAAGGTCTACTTCCAACAATACATTAGGAGCATGGCGCGTTCCCGCTCCCGTGGATAGAGGTATACATAATGGAGGCCTAGGAGCTCTATCCCTTGCTTAGTTCATAAGAACACTTTCCCATCAGGACATGCCGACAGTGTTTATCTTAGAAACTTTTCACACGGCACAAAAAAAGTACAAATGAAATAATGCTTATTGGCCTTGCCTTTCTTGGGAAGTCTGTTATACGACATAGAAGGAATTGAATAATACAAAACGTCTGGCGCTCATAAGGCTGCTTAAGGCATGCGGTAGTCAAAAGCTTGCAGTAAAGTAACCGATTTTTTTGTACCAGGAACTTGCTACAAAATTAAGATTTGTCGATCCTAAGACTAGGCATAATCAACTTCTGGGAAACAAGATGTGGTTGTTTTCTAAGTGGGTGTCTTTCCCGAAAGGGAGGAAGGGACGTTTGCGGTGAACTACTCCCCACTCATGGCTGATTCCACGATGGCAGTGGAAGATGGAAACAGAAGTTCATGACCAACAGTGGGAGTGCTCAAGTGTTCAGCGAAAAGAAAAAAATTAAAGAAAGCGGTGGAAGATAACTAAAGTTGAGACCTGGTTTTCCAACTGTTGATTCTAGGCAATGTTTGAGAGTTTTGTAAAAAGAAATTATTTCTTCAACGAGTTTCCCGCCACCCTGGCATCGTACAGGCAGGTTGATAAGTCGCTTTGTTGGGCAGGTTGTAGTGGGCAGGTTTGCTCTGGCGTCTGATTCATAGTTAATATTAGAACGCGTTTCTTGATCATTGCGCTATTATGACTACGATTCCAAATTCATTTATAAGGAAAGTGATATTAAGGTGGAGTACAGAAAACCCCATTACCCCAATCACCTGACTTTGACGAGTTATACACTACTACCATACAAACAATTAAGACTCAACATTTGATTCTTAAAGCAAGTTAGGCACGGTCATCCTACTAGGAGGGATAGGTAGGAAAGGTGGAGAAGTCACTAGGCCAGGAAAAAGGGCCTCGTGGCACATTTGACGGTCAGCCTAGATCTTATAGGTTGTCACTACGGTTAAAGTCACTGACCGGCACGCCTTACTTACAAATGGGAGTGCAATATACATAGGCAGACTGTACCTACAAATACAATTTTCTCACAATGCCCTCACACCTCCGAGCTGAGTTAGGAGTCACTGTGAAAAATGCTCTCGCTTTATTCGACGGAAGGGAAGTCAGTAGCTACTTAGTGGATTGGAACTTCCATTAATTTTGTTATTACTCAAGTGCTGTCGAATGAATTGTAATATGAGGAAAAAATGAAGACAGGAAAATAGGGAAAAGGAAAGTGACGCATAAGTTTGCAGTTATACATATATAATTGAATTTGATTCGTCACAGAAATTTTTTCCACCGAGCATGATCAATCTTTCTAGAGGGAGATGAAAAGTTGATAATCCCTCAAGGAAGGCCACCTTGGGCTTGGTATTTCGGGTTCAAAAATGCTACGGATAAGGCTAGAGGTAAGAAGTAGTTTGAGCAAAACAGCTGTATATTTCTTCCTAAATTGCCCACGGTTCTTCTTGCCTGCTTCATCTTACAGGGACGAGGACGGGTGCGCATCGTTGCGCGTGTCCGTCGAAACCAGGTCACGCCGCAGCCGTCGCATGCGGCGGGTCAGCCCGCGATACTTGACAGACGTCGCAGCTGTAAGCGGGGCATACGATTTGCGCTTTCTCCACGGTAGTCAACCAAAGGGAAGATAACATAGACAAATGCAAATCGTTCGCTCCACTCACACTTGGTGGTACTGTAATGCCATCTCGAGACCTCCGTGGAGTGCGCCGCGCGCGAAGTGGGCGGGGTGCCTACTTTCGACGGACACGCGCAACGGACGTTCGCCGTCGAGGACCATGTTGAGAAAGGACGGTGAAGGAAGGTATAAATGGCAGTCATCGCCCGCACTCTCTTTAGCAGGAAAATATGATGGAAGGGTGGGGCATTGGAAAAATAGCTCGAATCAGGACAAGGAACCTTCAGCTAATGTCCTATCATGTGTAGCCCATTTCACGGGATTAGCTGATTTCAAAGGAAATCTTTCCATGTAGAAGTCACAAGCCTTAAATGCACGTAACTGCCTTTCGTGCGAACTTATTTTTTACAGTCCGCTCGTGTTCCAGTAATGTTCCTTGTTTGCAGCTTCTTATAGTTTTGCACTTTCAGGGAACGATCTTTTTTCAGGTGCCAATTCTTGCTGGATACCTCCTTGTTAATCCTTCCCTTCGCAAAATCTGCCAACACCCTTACTTCAACAGGATTTGTCTCAGTGGCCTTCCCCAATAATAAGAAAAAAAAGGAAAAAAGGAAGGAGAGTATTAAGAAAATAATAGAAGCTCCATATAGAGCTATCAAAAACGGAAGAGGGTCTTCTATTGTAATAATCAATTTTAGACCTGTCCATCCATCTAGCGTTTCTAGCCCCCCCNCCCCCCCCTCCCCCGATTCAACTTCCGTGTTCAATGTCATAGGAATGCGGATGGAAGTGGTTTATACTGGAATTACGATGGCCAGACAATGTATAACCAGCGTTTAATCCTATCAGACGAAACTGGTAGCAAGTAATCGACACTGAAGGTATGGAAGGCTCAGTTGGCCTGGACAGCCATCTAACCGGGACCCTTTCCCTTGGCCATGCGTGTGGCAGCGTCCACCACTAGCCTCCACACCACATTCGCTATAAAACATTGTAGAACTGGCTTCGGATGTGCCTGAAGGTCTTGAAAAGCACTGTCTCCTCACAGGAGGCAAGGAAATATGTTGTTCAAATTAGTAGCATTACCTGCATCACCTGCGTCTTCTTTTATCATCGAATTGCTTCAAAAAATGAGAGAATACGTGGGCGAATGAAGTAAAAGTAGTACTAATGCATTCTTGGCGACAATACTAATATGGCTAGCATTTGTTACTGGCTAACAATCAACTTAATTACAACCTAGGCGAGAATCTAGTAAACACAATTAGATGTAGTAACGAAGTTGACGTGATCATTTGACAATGGCTGAAAAGCAAGATAAGGAAGTAATTCTAAAAAGCTGCAAAACGACTTGAAAATCATACCCCAGGCTGATTGTCAAGCAATGGGTGTAGGTGACTGCTTCGGAGATTCGATGCAGCCAGTGTATTTATGGATTTGTAAAAGAACTAAGTGCTGCACAGGGGGATGGGACCCAA